TGCCACAGTTAATGATTACGATACTGATGGCTATGATCAATGCCTTGAAAATCCACCAATGCCAGCTGCATGCAGTCATTCACACCACTCAAGTTGTGTAATCCACGAAAGCGGGCTCGAGAAAGGATATAGAAGTATGTGAACCAATATCATTTTTTATTTAATTTACTTTACAAAACTTAACTCGATTAATTTAAACAATTTTAGACATATTATTTAAAAAATTTACATTTTCATCATAACAGAAAGTGTGAAGGGATATCTATAGCAACTAACCCCCAAATGTACCCCATTTCATGTTGAAATCATCAAAACAAAGTTAATTTTATTTATAGCATATATGATTGGTAAATGAATGTGATGTTACCGTATATTGCTAATTTGTAGATTGTCTCTGACTTGCAAGTTACCCGTTCACCCTTCAGCTTCAACGCCCACGTGAATGAAGATGCGTTAAAAATCTCTATATGTTTTTATTCGTAAATTTCCACAACACACAGAATATAAATCTTATAACATTAATCCAGACTAGCTTAGAATGGTTTACATCGACTTCTCTCATCGAAAGATATCGGAGTCGTATTTATACGTCGATCATACATCTAATTAAATACTGTAAACGTGAGCTCGTGATTCACGTTATAAACAGAAACTCCCATTATTTCAATAAAGGTAATTATGTACATCGTACGGATGGGAACTTAGATATAATTATTTCAATCAGTGCCGAAGGTCTTGAGAATATAAATTTTAATTTGATAATGACTGGGTGGAACATGTTATGTTCTTAAACCTGGTGTAATTTGATTCCTACGAAAGTCTTTGTTCGAATTTTGGGAAAAATTAACTTTGTCATGATGATTTCAACATGAAATGGGGTACATTTGGGGGTTAGTTGCTATATTATCTCCCCATCTTACTAACTGGAAGTTTAAAGATTTGGCACCTCTAATAAATTGAAAATATATAGAAAAATACAATACACAATGCTAAAATTAATGATATAGGTCAAAAAAATATTTACATGTATATGATCTACAATGAGACAAGACATTGAAGTAAAGAAAAGTTTATAGAAAGGGTAAAGGTTGTAAAGTAGAATTGGGAAGGATGGCGTATTTTTATTTAAAAATTTTGGTTTGGACGGTTTAAACATATTTTCAATTTAATGTATTTCGCTAAGTTAAAATACTTATACTCGCTTTATCGCATTGTTACGATTTTGTAGACCTAGTTGGTCAATATATGCTTGTCCCATGTCGGGAAGAAAAAACGCGTTGCGACCTAGTTGGTCTATATATGCTTGTCCCATGTCGGGAAGAAAAAACGCGTTGCGACCTAGTTGGTCAATATATGCTTGTCCCATGTCGGGAAGAAAAACGCGTTGCGACCTAGTTGGTCAATATATGCTTGTCCCATGTCGGGAAGAAAAAACGCATTTTTAAGTTTATGCCATCTCAGGGCTTTTTTGAAAAAATAACGCTTTTGGATACAATTTTTGTTTAACGAGCTTATTATTTCACCGTTCTATATGACGGCTTTGTAAATAATTAAAAGTATGACTCGCTCGAATCTACTTTTAGAAAGCATTTTAATCCCAATGAAATCTATTAATCGAAAAAGGAATGCTAACCGCAAATTTTCAATAATATAAATATCTTGAAAGGTATTTGAAATTAGAATATTCAAAGTTATTACCATTAATTAATTTATAAAAATTGAAAGCCGAATGAAACGCCATGTATATATAAGAAGAAAAAGAAGTACTTTACCTTAGTATTAGTGGAAGAATGAAAAATGTCTGTCTCAATGAGGAGAAAAACCTGCAAATCATGAAACAAATTGTGGTATAACATGCTCCTGATCTGTATATCCATTAGGTATGCGCGAAAATTCCTCTCTCTATTATTCGGAATAGAGCGCGTGATTTACCGTAAAACAGTCCATATAGTTCATTGTTTTCAACAGTTCGTTTTTGATTAGGTTTTTCACCTCGAACATATATCATGTTCTAAAAGAGTTCATTTCGATCGATGTTCAATACAGTCCATATTCATGATTTTAACGTTTCCAGAGTCCGTTACCATAGTTCAACTGTTTTCAATTGAGATTATTGTCTTTTCATAATGTTTTTGATTATTTCGGCTTCTCAGCAATTTGCTACTTCAATCGCAGAAACTCCCATTATTTCAATAAAGGTAATTATGTACATCGTACGGATGGGAACTTAGATATAATTATTTCAATCAGTGCCGAAGGTCTTGAGAATATAAATTTTAATTTGATAATGACTGGGTGGAACATGTTATGTTCTTAAACCTGGTGTAATTTGATTCCTACGAAAGTCTTTGTTCGAATTTTGGGAAAAATTAACTTTGTCATGATGATTTCAACATGAAATGGGGTACATTTGGGGGTTAGTTGCTATATATCTTCGTAGAATTATTCACGGTTGTTCCTATGCTGGAATAGGAAATGGATGCACATCTGCGCAACCCCGTGACACTGAAATTGAGACATGCAATCGCACATGCACTACTGATGGATGCAACGTTGGTAAGATGTCATTTAAAATAAAATTGTTTTGTGCTATTATAGCATGAAACCTATCTCAAGATAGTACTATAGCGTAAGGGTTACCGCTTTATTTTCCATTCGTCATGCATATCGCTTATTTATATGTTTTAATTTTGCTATGAACGCTTAATTTGTACATATCCTAGGAAATAATTAAATATAAAATTAACTTAGTCACCATATTAAGGGAAGAAAGGTTAAATACAACATGTTATAATATTTTCATGTATTCATTCCTTCAATGACAATGATAGATATTTGGAATTCTTTCCTATGGTACCTACCAACAAATTGCTTCCTTTTATTCGAGCAGCGGGTTACGCGGTAGACCTTGGACCGCACCTTACTAGGCAATATATCGCGGTAGACATCATTTTATAGTAGCATAGTAGTATAGTATGTTTGAAATAATAGAAAAGTTCCAAATCGAATCCTATACGTTATGTCAAGCCATGACTGCCATAGCAGTTATTTCAATGATTATAGGCATGAGGGGCAAACTGGGTCCTAAAAGTATTACTTATTCTTAATTTCAGGAAGCGGAGGTTTGATGTCAGACGCTAATCTTCTGACATTCCTTCTTCCAGCACCTTTGGATGGCTCACACAACGTTATTTTTAAACTAAACTTCGAGAGTAATTTTATTTCTATGAACATTGATGTTATTACTTTTCTTTATATTAACAAAAGGGCAGAATTTAATTTGAGTATTGCCGTGAAAATTGTTATCAATAAGTGATTTTTACGATTTTGTAGTTTTAACGACGATGAATTAAGCCATAACATCTGTAACAGAAGAATCTTATTTATTCAAGCCTTAATGAGTCGTGACTATTGAATAAAGTTTCATGAAGTTTATTATTTGTGTTATATGATTAGCGTATGAGTTAAGATGTACTCCGACGGCGCTCATGCTGGCTTTTTATCAATACCAAAATTTTTTGACTACAAAGAAGTTGGTCTTGGTGTTCAATATAACTTTTACGCGCAATGATATCAAGAAATGGATGATATAGCATGCTATCTAACGTAATAAAAATGACACACACTTATGTAAAATGCTATTGCGCAATACAAAGAATAATATTGCAGCAAACTCAGAAATTTGCATTATTAAATCGGAATTTTAATAATTGTCAGGCATTCCCAGTTGTTGTCAAAAATAACTGCAAAAGTTAAATAACAATTTCAGTTGGTGTTTAGACAAATATATAGTGATATCGGATGAATGCCAATAATGAAATGTGACCTAATATTCGATTAATATAACGGGACGCGAAATTCAACGTCGGAGAAATCGTGCCCTTCTCGAGACTTTAGGAAGTTTGCTATTTTTTAGTAGGTTCATGTTGGTAAATGTTGTTATTAGACTTTTCATCTTGACTAAATTTATGGTCAAGCCTTTCATAACAATAATAATGATTCCGTGAGCAAAATAGTTCAAATTTTAATACCCATTTTTTCACCAAGGACTCATTAATTTTAAATTTAAATTCCTCTTTACATTGTCTGAAGAATATATGGAATATCAAGGTTGATTTAAACCATTCAAGGTCCCAAGGATAGTTATTTGATGTTACAAACTAATCTTATATACTATAGTAACCGATATTTACTCAATATCGAGTGCTTACTTATGTGTGCCAATTTACATAGCCAATAAATACGAATAACAGAAAGATTACAGAGAGTTATTTATGTTGACGCAGAAATAATTTTTTTGTCGTAATCGACAATCGGGAAATTTGTGAATAATTTTAAAGAAAACTGACATCACAATTCAGCACAAAGGAATCATCTGTCAAAATATAAATAATATATACAAACACATTCTCTATTTAAAAACAATCACATTCCCGGTACAAATTACTGAAAAAACAATTGAGGAATTAATAATTTTTCTAAGAGTATTTTCAAAGAATGAGCGGAAATTTCTGGAGATGTGGCAAGTAATCAAATTAACGACAGGAATATCAAAATATTTCCCGAGATACTCCTATAGATATGCAGCTAGGTATAAATGAGTACCACAACATATGTTGTCCTAAAGCGCACACTTGCAAATGGTTCGATATACATTTTATCAAGCAATGCAAATCGTTGGTAGGCATTGCATTCATTTACTATTGTGTGATATATTAGTATTTTCCGACATCAATCTAGAAAGAATGAGAAAGAGAAAACAGAATAGAGAGTTCCCCTCAGACATTCATTAGAAATTTTACAAACCCGTTGCTACGTTACGAGAGTAGGGAAACTTCAATGTAGATGAGAGACCTGAGATATCGTCCAACATAAAAAACAATAGAAATTGAAATATAGCGCGCCATTGTTACCGTTTCCTATATATAAGGAGCACACAAGGAAAATTTTCAGTTGAGTTAATTTGCTCGCAATTGATTACAAATATCGTCTGATCTCTAATGTGTTATGAATCCGGACTTTTATGTACCTATACTACTAACGCTACAGTTGAATTACCAGGTGATCAGAAAAACTTCACGCGATGTTCCAGCACATGAGTTGTAGTTCACTACGATAAAATTAAGCAATATTCCAAAAGTGTTAGATTTGTTCAATCAGGAAAATATAGAAACGGTTTCTATTCAATTATTTTTTGTAACTTATCTAGATGAAAGGTTCAAATCCAATTTTTGTCGAGGTTATTTGTTTATTACATTGAATACTGGTCTTATTAAATTATTATACAAATGAAAATCGTTTTATTCGAGACTATATTGTACATTTTAAGGCATAATTATTTAATCTTTAAAGAATCAGTATTTATTCAAGATATTTTTCGAAGCAGTTTTTTGTAAATTTAGGATGTTAATATAGGAAATATTTGTTCAAATCTAGGGAATGTCGTTGTTTTGTTCTTTTTAACAAACGCACAACGATAATAATAAGAACGATTTTTTCATTTACAGTTTTAAAATTCAAAGTCAATCACTTAAACATAATAATGAAATATTTAAAATCTTTTTTTGTGATCTTTGGTATCCTTGGCCGTACATACGGTAAGTTTGAGAAGATGCCTTCATGCATTTAATTTATAGAAGTGTAAATTAGAATATCAAAACAAAAGTTATACTAACCTCGTTCTTGAAAATTTTTAAACCATGTATGTGGACGAAACATATTGCAAATAGTTTATCCCCCAAGTACGTTGTCATATCCACTTTGAAATATTCGAAGTATGAAAATTTACTAATGTGCAACACCACTTGGATATTTGCCAGATGCCTTATTTCTACTGCATAACAAAGTTTATTTTACAATTTCGATATCAATATGTACTGATTTGTAAACAAGATAAACCCGATTCTCTTATGCTTATGCTTATCTTCAGATCACTTACCTCTTGAACAATATTGTAACAACCATTTATTATTTTAGGTTTGAATTGCTACTACCTGCACAGATACTAATTATGATGGAGATGCAGCAGAAACTTGTTTCACTACTGTATCAGGGACAACACCTTCTACTGCTTGTACAGCCGATTCGGGAACAACTGTGTATCACTGCAGTACGAAATTTACAGTAACTGATGGTAAAGTTAAACTTTTCTGATTTTAAAATAAAACTGCTCTGATATCAAACAGCTATAAAACCATATTTCTGCTATCGATATTGTTAAGGTGTCACTACGGGCGTTGTGCGAGGCTGTGCCCTGAGTACTTTTGGTGAAGACACTCACTCCGACGCAGTTCCAACCGAAGATAGATGTATAACTGCTCTTAATGCTATCGGCAATCCAACCGCGACAACAACTTGCTACTATCATTGCAGCACACCTGACAACTGTAACACTGAAAATACAGGTCTGCATTTAAGATTGAATTTTAAGCACAAGCTAGAAAAAGGAGAATTATTGTGATAATAATTTTTTTTCAGCCTCGTTGAAACAATGCCCAAATGATTGTACCTCCGGATCTAGTCATGGGAGCTGCAACTACATCACCGGGGTATGCGTTTGTAACTCAGGATGGTCTGGTACTTATTGCAACACGACAGTTAGTAAGTAAACTTCTTAAGTACAGATTCTTACAAACATTTCCTGAACTGAAATCATTTTTTGCTACAGAGAATCATAGTGCAAGTGCCATGCGTTTTAATAATATCTCTAGATGTCCCAAAACAGTCGTGGTACAGAACAATATCGTACTCATTTTCGAAAAAAATGACTTGCTCAAAAAAGTGTTACTAATAGTAATATTAGTTTTTTTTTTCCGAACGAAAAAGAAATATATGCCACAAAGATGTTCAATTTGAAAGTTCTTCAAATATTAGTATATATTTGGAAATTGGTCGAAACGTTCTAATTAGAGTTGAACATATAATGTAAAATCTACCCAGAGTAATAATACGAAAAAAAGAATTAGAATTTATAATAATATAAGTAAACCTATTTAATATTCTATGTTTCCCTAGCTACAACCTCAAGCGGGGCTTCCAGAAAATGTGTTCAGTGTAACTCAGAAATTGATAGCGGATGTAGTACATCAACAACAAGTGTGGATTGTCCAGGGACTCAAGCATATTGCTCTACAAGAACATCAACCATTTTTGACGGATGTAAGTAGAATTGTTATAATTAACGGAGATTGAGAAGTTGAAAAATAGTTTGAAAAATCAATTTGTATAAAATATTCCATATTCAGCCGATGCAGTTATTCACACTGTCACCACCAAAGCTTGCACAGCTGATTTCAAAGCTGTTGATCAATGTGTATTCAACGATATTCACAGTGACTCACCAATCAACCTAGCAAGTGTTGGTTACAGCGAGTTTAACTGTTTTTCTACCTGCGATACTAATGATTGCAACACCAACACAGGTTTGATTTTTGATTTCTAACATTAAATTTTTTTTTTATACAGTCTTGCTATGAAACATTGAAATATTCTAATTTGACATTAAAAATATTTAATTAGACGGCAATTTGGGAAATTAATAACCGACATGATAATATTATTTGTGCTTCAGCTGATGGAATGATCAACGGTAATGAAGCAGTTCCACTTCAATGTGTCGTTTGTAGTGATACCACAGGAGCCGGTACCTGCAACACAGCAACAGCAAGACAAGCTTGTCCGAGCGGATCTACTCATTGCAAACATACAGCAATATACCATATATCTGACAGAGTCTATCTTTCTTATGCAGGTGGATAAATTACTTTTGCACAGAATATGCCTGTAGGGCAAAGTTAGGTACTGTTTGAATTTCTTTTTTCACTAATATATACAAATCTTTCATTTTTGAGAAAGGGTTAAGGGTAAACTATCACTTAAACAAATGAACCCATAACAGCCAATCCAGAATATGAACTTATTAGCGTTGTACGTGAGTGCGCCACTGCTGCCGTGACAAGAGAATGCACTGAAGCTTCAATCGGAAGTCTCAGTTTCAAGAAAGTTACTTGCACTGAAACATGCCAGGGTGACGGATGTAACGTTGGATGGCGTGAGTTCTTTTTTACATTTATTCAACTTAAAGTTCAGTTTGTTTGAAACATATTTAGGATTCATTTTTTCTTATCATTTTTAAATATTAGGAGTATGTATTAATTGAATAAACACTGGATTTGAATATGATATAATGTTTGAAAAATTCACTTATAAAATTATACAATTATTATTATTTTCACGCCGCTAGTAGTTACTTCGTTATCTAAAACTGATGCATACTCAAATTCCAATAATTATGATTAATTTATATTACGTCAATAGATGGTGTTTTCTAGTTTATTTCTTGCTAATTTTATAATTCGATGCGTTTTAGCTGCAAGACCCGAATGTATCACATGCTCGTCACATGCTACATACGATACTGATGCCTATGATGAATGTCTTAAAAATCCACCAATACCGGCTGCATGCAGTCATCCATACCACTCAAGTTGCATAATCCACGACAGCGGTCTCGAGAAGGGAACTGGAAGTATGTGAGACAATATTCTTTTTATTTTAATTTTTGAACTCGATCCATTTAAACAATTTTAAACATATTTTTATTAAATATTCCCATTTTCATTATAACAGAAAGTGTGAAGGGATATCCTCGTAGAATTACTCGCGATTGTTCCTATGCTGGAATAGGAAATGGATGCACATCTGCGCAACCCCGTGACACTGAAATTGAGACATGCAATCGCACATGCACTACTGATGGATGCAACGTTGGTAAGATGTCATTTGAAGTAAAAATATTTTGTGCTATTAGTCCACGAAACCTATCTCAAGATGGTCTTATAGCGTTTGGGTTACCGCTGTTTTTTCCATTCGTCATGCATATCGCTTATTTATATGCTTTAATTTTGCTATGAACGCCTAATTTGTACATATCCTAGGAAATAATTGAATAGAAAATTAAATTAGTCACCATATTTAAAGAAATAAAAGGTTAAATACAAAATGTTATAATATTTTCATGTATTCATTCCTTCAATGACAATAATAGATATTTGGAATTCTTTCCTATAGTACCTACCAACAAATTGCTTCCTTTTATTCGAGCAGCGGGTGACGCGGTAGACCTTGGACCGCACCTTACTAGGCAATATATCGCGGTAGACATCATTTTATAGTAGCATAGTAGTATAGTATGTTTGAAATAATATAAAAGTTCCAAATCGAATCCTATACGTTATGTCAAGCCATGACCATAGCAGTTTTTTCAATGAATATAGGCATGAGGAGCAAACTGGGTCTTAAGAGTATTACTTATTCTTAATTTCAGGAAGCGGAGGTTTGATGCCAGTCGTTACTTTTCTGACATTCTTTCTTCCAGCAGCCTTTGGATTGCTCACACAACGGTTTTTTTAAACTAACTTTCGAGAGTAATTTTATTTCTAGGAACATTGATGTTATTACTTTCATTTATATTAACAAAAGTGCAGAATTCAATTTGAGTATTGCCGTGAAAATTATTATCAAGATGTGATTTTCACGTTTTTTAGTTTTAACGACGTGAACTAAGTCATACAATCTGTTACAGAAGTATTTTATTTATTCAAGCCTTAATGAGTCGTGACTATTGAATAAAGTTTCATAAAGTTTATTGTTTGTGTTATATGATTGACGTGTAAATTAAGATGTATCCTACAGAGCTCATGCTGGCTCTTTATAAATACCAATTTTATTTGACTACAAAGGAGTCGATCTTGGTGTTCAATATAACTTTTACGCGCAATGATATCAAGAAATGGAGGGTATAGCATGCTATCTAACGTAATAAGAAATGAATCACACTTATGTAAAATAATATTGCGCAATACAAAGAATAATATTGCAGCATTATTAAATAGGAATTGGAATAATTGTCAGGCATTCCCAGTTGTTGTCAAAAATAACTGCAAAAGGTAAATAATTTCAGTTGGTGTTTAGACAAATATATAGTGATACGGATACATGCCAACACGGATGAATGCCAATAATGAAATGTGACCTATTATTCGATTAATATAACGGGACGCAAAATTCAACGTCGGAGAAATCGTGCCCTTCTCGAGACTTCAGGAAGTTTGCTATCTTTAGTAGGTTCATGTTGGTAAATGTTGTTATCAGACTATTCATCTTGACTAAATTTATTGGCAAGCCTTTCATAACAATAATAATGATCCCGTGAGCAAAATAATTCAAATTTTAATACCCATTTTTTCACCAAGGACTCAATAATTTTTAATTTAATTTCCTCTTCACATTGACTGAAGATTATATGGAATATCAAGGTTGATTCAAACCATTCAAGGTCCCAAAGATAGTTATTTGATGTTACAAATAAACCTTATATATATATACTATAGTAGCCGATAATTACTCAATATCGAGTGCTTACTTATGTGCGCCAATTTACATAGCCAATAAATACGAATAACAGAAAAATGACAGAGAGTTATTTATATTGACACAGCAATAATTTTTTTGTCGAAATCAACAATCGGGAAATTTGTGAATAATTTTAAAGGAAACTGACATCACAATTCAGCACAAAGGAATCATTTGACAAAATATAAATAATATATACAAACACAGTCTCTATTTGAAAACAATCACATTCTCGGTACAAATTACTGAAAAAACAATTGAGGAATCAATAATTTTCCTAAGACTATTTTCAAAGAATGAGCGGAAAATTCTAGAGATGTGGCTAGTAATCAAAAAAAATTAGGTGATAAATTTAAGCAATATTCCGAAAGTGTTAGATTTGTTTAATCAGGAAAATATAGAAACGGTTTTTATTCAATTATTTCTTGTAACTTATCTAGATGAAAGGTTCAAATCCAATTATTATCGAGGTTATTTGTTTATTACATTGAATACTGGTCTTATTAAATTATTATACAAATGAAAAACGTTTTATTCGAGACTATATTGTACATTTTAAGGCATAATTATTTAATCTATAAAAAATCAGTATGTATTCAAGATATTTTTCGAAGCATTTTCTTGTAAATTTAGGATGTTACTGTAGGAGATTTTTGTTCAAATCTAGGTAAAATCGTTGTTTTGTTCTTTTTAACGAACGCACAACGATAATAATAAGAACGATATTTTTATTTACAGTTTTAAAATTCAAAGTTTATTCACTTAGACATAATAATGATATATTTAACATCTTTTTTTGTGAACTTTGGTATCCTTGGCCGTACATACGGTTAGTTTGATAAGAGGCATTCCTGCATTAAATTTATAGAAGTGTAAATTAGAATAGCAAAGTTATACTAACCTCGTTCTTGGAAATTTTTAAACCATGTATGTGGACGAAACATATTGCAAATAGTTTATCTTTAACTATGTGATTTTAACTATACCACCGGAGTATGCGTTTGTGCCTCATCATGATCTGGTACTGATTGCAACACGGTAGTTAGTAAGTAAACTTCTTAAGTACAGATTCTTACAAACATTTCCTGTAGTATGGCGTGTTGTATTGAACTGAAATCATTTTTTGCTACAGAGAATCATAGTGTAAGTACCATGCGTTTTATTAATATCTCTAGGTGTCCCAAAACAGTCGTGGTACAGAACGATATTGTACTCATGTGCGAAAAAAATGACTTGATCACAAACGTGTTAATAAAGGTATTAATACTAATTTTTTTCCGAACCAAAAAGAAATATATGCCACAAAGATGTTCAATTCGAAAGTTCTTCAAATATTAGTATATATTTAGAAATTGGTCGAAACGTTCTAATTAGAGTTGAACATAAAATGTAAAATCTACCCAGAGTAATAATAGGAAAAAAAATTAGGATTTATAATAATATAAGTAAACCTATTTAAAATTCTAAGTTTTCCTAGCTTCAACCTCAAGCGGGGCCTCCAGAAAATGTGTTCAGTGTAACTCGGAAATTGATAGCGGATGTAGTACATCAACAACAAGTGTGGATTGTCCAGGGACTCAAGCATATTGCTCTACAAGAACCTACAAGAACATCAACCATTTTTGACAGATGTAAGTAGAATTGTAATAATTAACGAAGATTGAGAAGCTTAAAAATAGTTTTAAAAATCAATTTGTTCATATTATCCCATATTGATCAATGTGTATTCAACGATATTCACAGCGTCTCACCAATTAGCGATACAAGTGTTGGTTACAGCGAGTTTAACTGTTTCTCTACCTGCAATACCGATGATTGCAACACCAACACAGGTCTGATTTTTGATTTCTAACATTGAAATATTTTTTTCATACCGTTTTGTTATAAAACATTGAAATATTCTAATTTGACATTTGAAATATTTAATGAGAAAGCATGTTGGGAAGTTAATAACCGACATGATAATATTATTTGTGCTTCAGCTGATGGAATGATCAACGGTAACGAAGCAGTTGCGCTTCAATGTGTCTTTTGTAGTGATACCACAGGGGGCGGTGGTTGCAACACAGTAACATCAAGACAAGCTTGTCCGAGCGGATCAACTCATTGCAAACACACAGCAATATACCATATATCTGACAGATTCGATCTTTCTTACACATGTGGATAAATTACTTTTGCACAGAATATGCCTGTAGGGCAAAGTTAGGTACATTGTTTGAATTTCTTTAAAAATTTTGGCTGTTTTCATAATAAATAAAAGCATTCATAGGAAAGCTATAAAATTTACGAAGCACAACTGCAAGCAGATATGATAATACAGATATTTCCAGAATAGACATTTTATATTTTTCCCCACTATTATATACAAATCTTTCATTATGGGCAAAGGAATAAGTTTAAACTTCCACTTATATAAATAAACCTAAAACAGCCGATCCGGGATATAAACTTGTTAGTGTTGTACGTGAGTGCGCCACTGCTGCCGTGCCAAGCGGATGCACTGAAGCTTCAGTTGGAAGTCTCAGTTTCAAGAAAGTTACTTGCACTGAAACATGCTAGGGTGACGAATGTAACGTTGGATGGCGTGAGTTCTTTTTACATTTATTCAACTTAAAGTTTAGTTTGTTTGAAACATATTAAGAATTCATTTTTTTTTAGCATTGTTAAATATTGGGTGATTGTATGGATTAAAGAAACACTGGATTTGAATATGATATAATGTTTGGAAAATTCACTTATGAAATTATACACCTATTATTATTATTTTCACGCCTCTAGTAGTTTCTTCCTTGTCCAAAATTAATGCATATTCGAATTCCAATGGTTACCATTAGTTTATCTTACGTCAATAGATGATATTTTCTACTTTATTTCTTGCTAATTATGTAGTTCAATGCGTTTTAGCTGCAAGACCCGAATGTATCACATGCTCGACAAGCACTGGTGCCACAGTTAATGATTACGATACTGATGGCTATGATCAATGCCTTGAAAATCCACCAATGCCAGCTGCATGCAGTCATTCACACCACTCAAGTTGTGTAATCCACGAAAGCGGGCTCGAGAAAGGATATAGAAGTATGTGAACCAATATCATTTTTTATTTAATTTACTTTACA